AAAAAAGTTTTGAAATGTCAAAATATGACGGTATTTAAGCGTGGTACTACCAAAACATGGCAATAATTACTCCCATTTCGAGAGTAAAACCATACAAGTCATATTTTAAAATTTTAGAACATCTTTACCCTTATTTAGGGCAATTTCCCAAATTAGAACCATCTCTATTTGATCCAGAATATCATTCTTAGCTTATTGATTGAGGGATATGAAATTGTAGTTTTTTATGATTCTTGTTGCTTTCTGATTCAAATATATCGTTCTCAGATATGGATCCGGAGGCCGCACGCACAGCACGCGACTCCCTGGACCTTGCCTTTCACATGTCCAACATTCTGGATACCGGCCTTGATCGCCAGACCCTGTCCATTCTCATTGCTCTCTCTGATAGGGGTTTCGACCCCGAGGCCTTGTCTGCTGTTGTCAAGGAGCTCGCCACAGATCAGTCTTCTCTGTCTCCTTCCTCCTCGTGAACACCCTCTCCCACTTGATTTTGTATAATCCCTAATCCAAGTACATTTAAACTTCAACATTTTTTTTGTTCAGTATTAGTATTCTACTTAACTTCTGTGGTCTCTTGTTAAGTTTATGTCTTGTTTAGTTGTATGCTTATATGAAGAAGAGAGAATTCCCTAAATAGGAGTAAAAAAGTTTTGAAATTCCAAAATAGGACTATCATGTTTTTTATTCCCTGAATAGGAGTAAATTTCTGCCAAGTTTGGCATTACTAGGCTTTAAGCATGGCATTTTCTTCCAAACATGGCAGATTACTCCTATTTAGGGAATAAAAAACATGATACTCCTATTTTGGAATTTCAAAACGTTTTTGCTCCTGTTTAGGGCAATTTCTATATGAAGAATGATTCTATGCTTCTTAAATTGCGGAGTGTATAATTTTGGAGAGGGAAGTGAAGAGAGAGTATAATTTTGGAGAGTATAATATTGTTCATTGTTGTGTATATTTGTGATTCAGATGATGCATAGTGTATGTGTGGTGCTGGAAAAGTCCAGTTTATTTACAAATACTTCACAACATTTTTGGTTAATGAAGAAGTATATTTTTATTACAGACCAACGTACAATTCTCGAATGCAATGCATGAAATTTATTTTCATTTCCCTTGTAATATTACAATAAGAATAGAAGAGAATCATCCACAAGAGTCCCCGCAACAGAGTGTTGTGCAGGTTTTTAAAGATCTTACAGGTGTGAAATCAACAACTGAAGAACTGAAGGTTGTTTGCAAGTTAACAAAGGTTGTTTAACAGTTCAATATTAAGCACAACTAAAACAACATAGGTACTCAAACACAAAGATTGGGGAAAAGTTGGTTACTTTAATTGAAAGATTATTAGGAAAGAGAATTTTTAGTGAAGCCGATAAAGAGAAGTACTAACGAGAAAATTTTGACAACATATGAATATGGTGATAGTTCAAAGAACAATGAAGTGAAACATACGACTTGTAAAGACCATAACAAATAAAGAATGTACACTTTATCTCAAATTTTCCTTTAGAACTTGATATTATTAACCAATGATGTATTAAGTATTCACATTGAGACAATAGTCTTTGTTCTCACTTTCGTATTATTCATGGTGTGAATCTTTGTCTTTTAATTAGAATCTGAATGCCTAGCTGTACGAGAAAATAACTCTCTTGAAATCATTTTGCAGCTACTATTTATAGGCTCTTAAATGTTAGCTTGTCGTTGCTATTTTGATCATGTTTCAGGTAGTATATGTGGTAAAAACATGTCATTCTTCATTATCCTCTCACATTTATGGCAGCAAGTTTGGAAATCTGGTAAAGGCTTGAGTTCACTGGTATACGAAACCTAATTACTAGTTTACTACTATGTATTATATTGAAATAATGGCCCGTTTATGACATTTGACTTTTCAAATTCCACAAATATAACTTTGTTTTCTTTTTCCAAAAATGTGACTCACGCTCCTTTCCGCACATCTCTCCCCAAAGACGCATCTCCCTCTCCTCATGTCTCTCTTCCCATAGATGCATGAGACTTCTCTCTGCCGCCATAAACCACCAGACATGGCGTGGTCTTCCTTCATTTCTTCACAAGGTCGAGGCGCCTCTTTTCTTCGTACGGCCATGGCGCCTTCTCTTTGCCGGTCCGCCTGCCTGAACCTCGCCGTCCCTCTGCTGCATCTCTGCAGACCCGCCTCTCTGAAGAAGGCCGACAAACCTTGAGCTAGGGATGTGCCATCTTCGTTTATTCTTCTTCTTCTCCTTTCTTGAACGCAAATCACTGCGATTCCAGATCAAATTTGGAGGATTTCCTTCTTTGTTTCATATCTGAGTTCGTGGATGGGGCGAGGCTTGACTGTAGGGCGTGGCTTGAGAGGCTGTGTTACGATGTTGTTGGGTGGGGTAGGGGGTGCGTCCTTGCTGGGCGGGACTGGGAAGGGTGCTAGGGCCTAGGTTGGGGCGGGGATGGTGGAGAGGACTGCTCACGCCGGAATCCATGGTGGTGTTAAATGGCCGGAGAGGCCTGGAGGAGGACAAGGCTGTGACAGCGGAGCAGGGTAATGGCCTGGTTGGGGTCAGCGGCGCAGGGGACTGGGAGAGTTGGGGAGGAGGCTGGGAAGGTGGGGGAGGGGTTGGGATGGTTGGGGAGGGCGCTGGTAAGGTTGGGGTTGGGGGTGGTGCACCCACAAATGTGTGGGGTGAGCGGTAGTGGTGACGGTGTCGGGCAGTTTATTGGCCGAGGGGCGGCAGTCATTGCCCGGGGAGCAGCAGTCACTGGTCGGGAGACGACAATGGTTGGACAGTGGCAGCAACAGTCATTAGCCGGGGGTGATGGCGGTCACTAGCCGGTGGAATGGCGGCAGTCATTGATCTGTGTGCGATGACAGTCATTTTGGCCGGTAGACGGCTGTCACTGTGGTGTACTCACTGTGACCGGAGTCAAGGTGGCCGGGGGAGTCACTGTGACGGAGGAGTCACTATGACGGTCGAAGTCACTTTGATCGGAGTCACTGAGATTGTGGCGACGGCGGCCCAGAGGGGCTGGTGGCAGCAAAATGTGGACTATTAATCAAATATTTAAAAAGATAAATGACTTTTAGTCACTTTTTTGATTAAATTCAAAACAGATCACGCTTTTGTGTTTTTGATTCATTTTAGTAATATTGGAATAAAAAGGCCTATTAAATTTACAAGAAAAAGAAAAACCGTAATCAATGAAAGATACTACTTCTCACGTCCCAAATTGTTTTGCAATGTCAACATTTTTTGTCAAATAATGTTAAAGTTAAATCATCTCTTGAAAATTAATTTAATTTTAATAATTAAAATTTACATATTCGGGAATTACATTAAAATCTCCATAAGGTTGCAAAGTCAAAATTAAAATTCAATTAAGAATTGATATTCTAATTAAGTGAATAAAATGAATCTAGTTGACCTTAAAAAATCAATTTTACAACTCTAGTGTGACGGAAGGAGTATTGCATATTTACCTAGTCCATATTTACCTACAAATCTACAATACGTGTGATATGAATGAACCGTTGTGGGCTTGTGGCATAAGAAATTGCATATTTTTTGGTAGGACAAAAAGATGATTATTTAAACTATTAAAAAGGATTATTCATCTATCGCCTGCCTTGGCTATTGACCAAGTCCAAAAAACAGAGTTAGCAATTTAGAAAAAAATAAATATAAGAAAAATGCTTGGTATATACTATGTATCTTTTTGTGTACACTTTTGGCACACCTTATCTGTCTACAAGATTGAATTGTATTTCAAACAACTATGTATGTTAGACAATGAAGCGACAACTTTAATGCATAATTTGGAAGGAATGTTGCACTTGATCCTTATGCTTTATATACGTATTCAACTTCGTATGTAGACCTTTTAGACGTTTGCTATTAGCTAAACAACGGGGTTCAAATCAAAATCTAATGAAATGAAGAATTTTAAATTGTGGATTTTATATCTTATGGTTAATTCATGATCGAGTTTACCACCTAGTGTCTTCGAACGCATGAAACAAATAAAAAAACATTTGTTCTCCATATTGTAGGCCGGACAATTAAGTAAACTTTTTGGTTTTAAATTCATTAATGATCATTACAAATGCATAGTAATGAAACAATATAATCAATCTTATACCAAAGAAATAACTCAAACCCACTTTAGTTATAAAAGCCCATCAATTAAAAAGGATTGACAATATAAGGAGAAGGATAAAAAAATGTAGAAGTAAACAAAATCCTAAATTTACCTTATACTCACTCCATAATTGATTTTGAAGCGGTGGCTTTCAAGTTTCAGCACTGTCCCAAAAATGTAGAAATAAACAAAGGACCTTGTTGGGATTCAGGGTTCTAAAATAAAGGTGAACAGAAGGCAGGCATTGTCCGAATTCCGAAAGGGCTTAAAGGATTGAGACGGGAAGGAGGTAAGAAGAAATAATTTTTTTTTTTGAAAACAAGAAATAAAGTATTTATGCTTGATAACTTGAATTATTGAATCAAGATTATGCGTAGTAGTATATTTCTAACCTAAAGAAAAAAAATTCAAGCCCAAGGGCTGGGAAGTTTGCAATTATTACCAATTCATGAAAGCATTTCTAACACTTTGCAATTTGTTCTACTTGAAATTATCACTCGATTTTGTATTTTTGTGCCTGAAGTTGCATTTCATTTAAAGATGATGAATAGTAAATCTCATGCTATATTGCTATCTAACTAACACTAGCTAGTATTGACAACTTACAATATTGACTAGAAATCTAGAATGGGCAAAACAAGTATAATCACCAAGAACAAACCAGAAACTTTGTATAATGTGAGATACATCAATGGTCATAAAAAAATCAGTAAGAACATTGCAAATAATTCAAATATGAATTGGACCAACCGACCAACCTCTACTCCTACTGTTCCATAAAACACGGTCAATCTTAACTTGCAAATGAAATAATAAAACAAAAATTGTATAATTGAGAATTACATACAGGGAAAGATATAACTTCAACGACAAAATTGTTTCTTTAAAAGCAAATAATAAAGTATTTTAGGACAACTAAATAAGAAAGTTGACAACTGTTTAATGGGATAGAGGGAGACAGGGAGTATTACACACATTCCAATAATATTCTTAAAATAATTCAAAATTTAATAAGAAACATAGTATAATACTCTGCAACAATGTAAAATATTAATATAAAAAACTGAGTAGGGGCCTAGGCCCCCATTTGGGCCTAATAGATCCGCTCCTGAGTATAGCTATGAACCCATGACGTAGGCAAGATCAATTTCTCCAAGTGAAGAAACCAGAATAATTAGCCATTTACAGACTACCTATTTACATATTAAAAATATCATCATTTCATCTTTCACAATACAAAAGCATATACCTGTACACACTACACACTGTTCACCCAGAAGTCCAGAGCTAGTCCCCCAGAAAAAACATGGTGGAACCTTCAAAGAGCTTCTCTTCACACCGAGAAACAAAACGAAGACCTTTCGGCACCTCACGTGTTTGTATCCGTGAGAGTTGAGACCACTAAAATGAAACCGCAAGAACTACTAATACAATTCACATCAGAAAGGGATTCAAATATCCTCCCCAAAATATATTAGCAGTGTTACTAGCCATGAGAAAACGACTAAACTTATTTTGCCTGAAACTGCTGCCTGAATATTGTCAGATTCTGAGTGAATTTGTCACGATTTTTTGTACTCAAGCTGTTTGTAACATCCATCATTAATTTGTCAAAACATAAGGAGAGGCGCTGGTGCTGATGGACTGGCTGTAAGAAACAAAACAAAAAACATGGGTGGTCAGGTATGAATGCTAAGAACGAGACCCCCAAAAGGGAAAATGAATGGATAATGTATGGAGACTGAAGTTCCAGAGTAATTACACAATCAAATTCTAAGAAATATATTCCACCATATTGTAATTCATAAAAAGGATGGAGACAGAGAGCTAACCTGAGAAGCCAGAATCTCAGCTTTTAAATCATTGAATATCTATGTAGAACCAAGTAATCATGTTTCAGTACGATGAGCTTTGAAGATCAAAATTACACTCAAATAAAATCTAAAAGATATTAATGAAGAACAATCTGTGCATCACATGCACAAAAAAAGTAAAAATAGAAATATCAATATGCCAAAAAAACTCAAAAGTTATTAGTAGCACAATACTCAAACCCTATCCAGAGATATGGCTTGATGAAGCTTGGGATACCTATACTTGGAAAATGATTAATGATCTGGCATTTTATTGTGTATAGTTTAAAGAGGGAGGATGCAAGTAGCTTTACTGTTCTAACGCATACTCCCTTTGTCCTAATATAAATTTTTGACTTTCCTTTTCAGGTTTCTCGAAAAGAAACTTCTTTATCATATCTTCAGAAAAGATATGTGTGGTTGATATCATCTCTATTTTCTAAATAAATTTCAACCCTACAATTTCAGTTTTTTGCTTCCATGCCAAAAGTAAGTGGGGAGTTTATCATGGGGCGGAGAGACTACAGCTTTACAAAAGTAGCATAGATCTACAAGCAATTACCTGTTGAGTAATAAGCATCAATCCAAGCATTGGTCGACTAAGACTCCATTGGTTGCCATTCTCCTCAAAAAGAACAATCTCAAAGAATGTTTTTAGTATCTGACAGGATGGTGATCCCAAACAGGCACAATAATGAAAAACAATGTTGTTAGAATGTAGGAAAGTAATATAAACCAATGTCCACAAGGTAATCATAAATTTTCTAGTAAAGAACTCTATTTCTTCACACTTTTGATACCATGTTGAGCAACACAATTTACATATTGGAAAAGACCAATATATTTAGATGGTTGTATGCTAATTTTCCCATCATTTGCAATGGAGCCAAAGATTCATTATTTTTTGGCTTGAGATTATGATGGAATAAAGCAAAATGGCTCACTAAATTGTCTGCGCTTCTTTGTCATGAAGAAGCAGTCAGTCCGTGCAATTTTGGACGGGATTTTCACTATGGGTCATCCGGAAACAGTCTCTCGTGCTTTAGTACGGGGGTAAGACTGCGTACATCCGACCCCCTTACCCCACCGTAGGTGGGAGCCTTTGCGGCACTGGGGTAAATGAAAATGAAAATGATGAAATGTTGAATGTATGCTAATTAGGCAATGCATACTAAAACTTTTAGATAGTCATCATGTATAGCAAGCTTTTCATGTCATTTAGCTAAAGTAGAAAAGAACTAGCAGTATCAGTCTACACCACTGCGAATATAATGTGTACATCAATAAAGAATGTTTTTTGTATATTTTACCAAGAATAGGGTAGCAACATATTGATTTTTTGAGGTAAAATATAGCTTACTTGAGGAAATAAACTCGGAGATTCTGCTATGTGTCTAGCAAAACTAATAGCAGCAGGTGAATTTGGTGCTTCCTCCATTGTGATGTTGTTGAAGTAGAACGAAGCGAGATTATCAAATGCGGATGTACACTGAGGAGCAAATTAAAAGCAGGCATGGTTTAAGAAGTGTATGAAAATATATACTATCCATATAGAAAATTGTAAGGTAGAAATCAATTCACAAATATATGGAGTTATGCACAAAACCAGCAACATATGCTACAGCTTCAGTGATTCATAGAATCTCTAAATATCCTCAATTATCTTTTCTTTATTAGGGAACCTTAATTAGGAGGATTCCTTCCTTATTTCATTGTTTCTCTAGCTATATATATCATGCATTCTTCTCCTTGTAACATACATAACATAATAAACAGAATACAGTTTACTTTCTTGAGTTATTTCTGCATGGTATCAGAGCGTGGTTATTCTCTAAAATGATCAAGTTCGGATCCTATGGGATGACCACCGAGAGAGATGGATCTATCTCAGTCACCTCTCAACATTCAGAGGGTGTCCCAACAGTCATCACTCCTAATCAATCAGATTCGATTATTACTTGCCATAAACTCAATGGTAGTAATTATCTACAATGGTATCAATCAGTTATGATGTATGTGTGTGGAAAAGACGAGGACTATTTGACAGGTGATGCACCTGCTCCGGATCAAGGAGATCCGGGCTACAAGAAGTGGAATAAGGAGAACTATACTGTGATGTCATGGCTCATCAATTCCATGACGACCAGTATAGGGGAAAACTTCCTACTATACAAAACAGCTCAAGAGATTTGGGAGGCTGTGAAAGAAACATACTCAACTTTAGATAACACTTCTGAATTAATTGAGGTTGAATCAATGTTACATAACCTTCAGCAGGGAGAATTGAGTGTAACTCAATACTTCAACAACCTTGTGAGACTCTGGCATCATCTTGATGTGTTTGAGACATACAGTTGGTCATGTTCTAAGGATAAGAAGCTATATCAGGAGATCTGTGAAAGGAAGAGAGTCTTCAAATTCTTGTCAGGTTTGGACAAGAGTCTAGATGAGGTTAGGGGCAGAATCATGGGAAAGAAACTCACCCTTAGAGAAGCCTTCTCAGAAGTCAGAAGAGAAGAAAGCAGAAGGAAGGTAATGATGAGTCTAAAATCTCAAGGTTAGCAACAAAACATTGAAGGATCAGCCTTATATACCTCTTCCAGAGGAATGAAAACAAGAAAAAGGGGAGACCATGGTGTGATCTCTGTAAGAAACATGCTGGAATTTGCATGGTAAACCTAAAGATTTCAAACCCATCAAAGGGAGAGGAGCCTATGTAGCTACTGAAGATAAAGAAGACATAGGCACTTCAAACTCTGCTGCATTTACCTATGAGCAGATTGAGGTTCTTCAACACCATTAACTAGCCTTACTACTCAGACAGGTAATGCCTTAACAACCCTAGTTGCACACAGTCAGCCCTATTGGATTGTTGATTCAGGGGCATCAGATCATATGACCGGAGACGATAAGTTTTTTGATGAATTGACCCCTATGAAGAATAAGGTAACTGTGAAGATTGCTGATGGAACTACTTCAACAATAAAAGGGACTGGAAGAGTCAAAATTTCTGACAAGATAGTGCTTAACAATGTGTTATATGTTCCAGATATAAAGTTCAACCTCTTATCAGTCAGTCTACTGAACAATGATACACATTGCTTAACTAAATTCTCTTCTCAATTGTGTGAATTTCAGGATTTGGATTCAGGGAGGATGATTGACAGTGCTAAGCAAAGTGGTGGACTCTATCTTCAGGAACATTCACCACACTCACCAAACTCCATCAACAAGATAACTTCCAGTGAGAGTCAATTCAACCATAAGTTCTTAGGGAGTCTTAGTAGGAGTCAGTTTGATACTCAAATTCAGTTATGGCATTATCGTCTTGGTCATCCTAATGTCTTGTACTTAGAAAAAATATTTCCTTCATTATTCATAAATAAAAGTTCTGCCTTTGATTGTGAATTTTGTCAACTTGCTAAACATACGAGAAGTCACTATCCCAGTCTACCTTACAAACCATCTAAACCTTTTTCTCTCATCCACAGTGATGTTTGGGGCCCATCCAAGGTCAAAAACCTCACTGGTTCAGGTGGTTTGTTCTGTATATTGTTGATCATACACGCCTAACATGGGTTTTCCTCATGAAAGAGAAGTCAGAAGTCAATATTATCTTTCAAAGATTTTATTCTATGATCAAAACTCAGTTTCAAACCAAGATTCAAGTTTTTAAAACTGATAATGCCAAAGAATATTTCTCATCCAACTTAGGAGAGTTTCTGTCCAAAAAAGGGATTATACACATTAGCTCCTGTGTTGACACCCCACAACAGAATGGGGTGACAGAAAGGAAGAATAGACACTTACTGGAAGTTGCTAGAGCCCTTATGTTCACCACTCACACTCCTAAACACTACTGGGGAGAGGCTGTCTTAACTGCAGCTTACCTGATATATAGGATGCCCTCCAAAATTCACCAATTTAAAAGCCCATACCAAATCCTATCTTATCTACATCCTCACATCCCTCTTACCAATCTTCCACCCAAAGTCTTTGGTTGCAAAGCATTTGTTCACAACCACTCCCCACTTAGTTCAAAACCGGATCCCAAATCCTTACCTTGTATATTCATAGGATATGCTGCCAACCAGAAAGGATATAAATGTTATTCTCCTACAACCAAAAAGGATATAACCTTCTTTGAAAATCAGCCTTTCTATTCCAAAACAGAATTTCAAAGGGAGAACCACAATGAAATCCAGTCTTTGAACCCTAATTCACCTATTTCAGACATTATTCCAGACCTCCAAGAATCTGAATCTAACCACACCGAACCCATACTCCCAGACAGCTCTAAATCAAGCCCTCCAGACAATACAATCTCTCCATCAACCTCACCATTTCAGCCACCAACCTCATCACCCCAAAATCCTACACTAGATCAAAATCCCCCATTCTACAAGAATACCTATAAGCGGAAACCTAGAAACAGAGTTCCAGAAGAAGAGCACATCACTCCAATTAACACCACCCAATCATCTGACTCAAATTTGAATCTTGATGACAAAGAGGTTGAGGTTATAGAAGGAGATGAGGAGGAACAAGACTTGCCTATTGCTATCAGAAAGGGAGTGAGGGAGTGTACCAAGCATCCTATCTATAATTTTGTTTGTTATAAGAAACTTTCAGCAAACTATCAAGCTTTTATTTCAAAGATTGATATTATTCAGGTTCCTGACAACATTAAGGAAGCCCTTGAACATCCAGTGTGGAGGAAGGCTGTCCATGATGAATTAGCAGCATTGGAAAAGAATGGAACTTGGGTGCTTACAGATTTGCCAGCAGGGAAGAGAACTGTTGGCTGCAAGTGGGTACTTACAGTCAAATATCAGGCTAATGAACAGATTGAAAGGGAAAGCAAGGCTGGTTGCTAAGGGGTTCACCCAAGCTTATGGCATTGATTATTCAGATACCTTTGCACGAGTGGCAAAGTTGAACACCATTAGAGTATTGTTATCACTCGCAGTGAACCTAGACTGGCCATTACATCAACTGGATGTTAAGAATGCTTTTCTTAATGGAGACCTGGAAGAAGAAGAATTAATGGATGTACCACCAGGGTTGGAAGACTCGGTGAAATATGGCCAGGTTTGTAGACTGAAAAAGTCTTTGTATGGACTAAAGCAGTCTCCTAGAGCATGATTTGATAGGTTCACAAGATCAGTTATTAAACAAGGGTTCATGCAATGTCAGGCAGACCATACACTATTTGTAAAGAGAGCAAACTCCAGTAAAATGGCTATTCTTATAGTATATGTTGATGATATTATTATGACGGGGGATTATAAGACTGAATTGGACAGATTGAAGGCTCATCTAGCAAGAGAGTTTGAGATCAAGGAGCTTGGTGAGTTAAAGTACTTCCTTGGAATGGAAGTGGCAAGATCTAGTAAAGGCATTTTCATTTCACAAAGGAAATATGTCCTAGACTTGTTGAGTGAAACTGGAATGCTTGGGTGCAAGCCTATGGACACTCCCATGGATATATCAAAGAAGTTAGGCGGTGAGACTGAAAGTCCACCCGTTGATAAGGGTAGATACCAAAGGCTGGTACTCCTGGTAGGGAAGCTAATCTACCTATCTCACACACGGCCAGACATTGCTTTCTCAGTAAGTGTGGTAAGTCAATTCATGAATGACCCAACTCAGGAACACCTAACTGCAGTCTAAAGAATTCTAAGGTACCTGAAAATGACTCCTGGAAAAGGATTGTTGTTTCAGAAACAAGGGACAAGGAAGATTGAAGTGTTTACTGGTGCTGACTGGGCTGGAAGCCTCTTAGACAGAAGGTCAACTACCGGTTATTGTACTTATGTATGGGGTAACTTAATCACCTGGAGGAGTAAGAAACAATTGGTGGTTTCGAGAAGTAGTGCAGAGTCTGAACTCGGGGCTTTAGCACAAGGAATCTGTGAAGGATTATGGTTAAGAAGATTGATGAATGAGCTTAAACTTCCATTTGAAAGCTCCATCCATATCTCATGTGACAACCAGTCTACTATCAGTATTGCTAAGAATCCTGTCCATCATGACAGGACCAAACACATTGAGATAGATAGAAGGTTCTTATCAGAGAAGATTGCAGCAAAGGATATCCAGCTTAGCTATGTTCCAACCAGGCAACAAATAGGTGATATACTCACCAAGGCACTTCCTTGGATTCAGTTTGAAGACTTATCTAGCAAGTTGTGCATGGATGATATCTATCACCCAGCTTGAGGGGGAGTGTAGATTATTACAGATTGTTCTAATTACTCACCCGATTGTGCATTTATGAGGAGATATCTTAGAGATCTCAGAATCTCTAAATATCCCCAATTATCTTTTCTTTATTAGGGAACCTTAATTAGGAGGATTCCTTCCTTATTTCATTGTTTCTCTAGCTATATATATCGTGTATTCTTCTCCTTGTAACATACAAAACATAATAAACAGAATACAGTTTACTTTCTTGAGTATTTCTACACATTGTTGTCCTACTAATGCTCATAAAGAAAAAAACTTAAAAATAGAATCCAGATGACAAGCCTCAGAATCCCCCAGCTTGGAAAGTTACTTTTCTAACACGAAGAAAGTTGTCCAAAAGTGATTTGTGCTCTATAGGTGCTAACCCCTTGTTAGGTTCAAAAGAGGGGAGGGAGGAAACTAGAAGAGTAAACAAAATTGGTTCAACTGAGTGAAACTGTCAAACAGGCCCCGTACTAGTCGAAAAAGTCAATTAGCCCCTCGTACTTTGAAAACACTCAATTAAACCTTTGAACTTTTAAAAAACGCTCAATTGGGCGAATTGGCAGCTAACCAACCGGTTTCCTGGTTACCTGCACACGTGACGGCTTATGTGGCAATTATTTTCTTTTCCTCTTTCATCCTTTTCTTTTTCTCTTTCGTTTTCTTTTCCTTTTTCTCTTTTTTTCCAGTCCGCTTCTTCCTCGCATAGATCCGGTCAACCCTGTGCCGCCGGAGAGGGGAGCCTTCATTGCCGCCGGAGAGGGGAGCCTCCACAGGTTCCGGAGGGGAGATGTGTGTCGAGTTGAGGATGGCCGGTCGGAATCGCCCTTAATATCTAGCGTCGTCGGCTCGTCGCTTGAGCAACCATTTCCGTTGTGGGTACCTTCCGAGCTAAATACGAAGAATATTGGGCACCTATTCACTCCAATGGTGCATCCTCACACCGTTGTATTTATTGAGTAAATTGTTAAATTGTGGTGGACATGCATATGTATACCTCTGCTATGGTATGCATTTCATGCTGAATGTTGAAGCAGACAAGGTATTAGAGCAACTGTCTTGATTCGTTTTTGTGCTCCCATCTTAGATAATAATTGTATGATAAGCTACAGAGATTTTCAACACTCAATATAATGAACAAGAACAGTACGAACTTCTTTATTCAACAGAACTAGTTCAATAGAAGGAAATACAAATGTAGACGATTCGAGATGTCTAATCTCCCAGCCAATTCTAGCTACAATACAACCTACCTCAGCTAGCTCAATATCCTTCTATTTATAGTAAAAGTCCACGCAGGGACAAGCCGCTAACTAAACTAACAGGCTAGTTAGTTATTAGTTAGTATTAACTGCCTTATTCCTCCTTTTATAAACTTTGTTATAATACTGAACTGATTGCTTTACTCCGTGTCTATCATTGTACTAATCCCTTCCCAAACAATTTAAAATCTTTACTTTGTATCTTTTCAGTTATGAATCAGTATTTTGGTTTGCATTTTACTGTAATGGTTATGTATACAGGGTTGGGAACAATTCAACAATGATGTGGTTTAAAAACGGAGAAAATGTGAAGGAGAAGATGAACAGGACCTGTGAAGGCTGAATTGATTAAATACAAAGGAAAAAAGTAGTGAGGAGCTATTGATGTCATGTACGGTCATCTTCGTCACCGGTGGTCGCGCTGCAGGTCACCTTTGCTTTTAATCGTCTATGCAGCCACCTAGTGGGAGTCCCGCTGGAGGCTGGTGGGAATAGAAAACCATCAAGGGAAGAGAAAGAAAGAAAGGAAGGCGGGAGGCAGGCAGGAAGGAAGGAAATATAGCACCGAATAAGCCACAGCTCTATTCCCAAGGGGAGGAAGAAAAAAAGAGAGGGAGTGAGGGAGGGAGGCAGACAGGCAGGCAGGAACGAAGGAGTACGGGGTTCAATATATAAGGGTGTATAAGGGGCAAGTCTTCCCCTATTTTTTGACAAGAGGCTGCTCCCAAGACTTGAACCTATGATCTCTCAGTCACACAGCAACACCTTAGGCGTTGCGCCAAGGCTCCCCTTCAAAATATATAAAGAAATATATAATATAATTTTGCTGTAATTAAAAATGTAGTAAGCTATATGCCAAACAAGTTCATTTAAAAAAGGAAAGAGATCTGTTATAAATAAAAGTGCCCCAAATCCCCCACACTGAGCAAAATACAAACTTGGTAGAGTGCACTTCTCCACTTTCCTCCCTCTTTCCCCAAACTCCCCTAACAAAAATCATATCACTGTCACTTCATCCCATCCGCTCCACTCCATCCAAGTAAGTGCTAAATGTTTTTTTATTGCAATTTACAAGGTATGGCTAAGTACTTTAGTTACACGAAATCATCATCTGTTTCACTGGATTCCATTCAATACCCAGTGCTAAATACTTGTATTTAAGGTTTCACCTGAGTTAATATGCCATCATCAAGTGCTTTCAGACCAGCTTCCAGCAAACCAACTATAAGCATGAATGTTTTTGTATCAAGGTTAAGTACATAACCAATGTTGCTGTTGAAAAGAACTTCCAAGAAGGCAAAGTATGCCCTTGTGAGCTGCAAAGAAAAGAGTTTTATTGGTATTAAGCTATCAATTATATTTAGTGCAATGGAAATATACTCGTACAAATATACTTTAGCAGATATAAGGTTGATAGAAACAATGACTTACAACTGCACATCAATATCACACTTAGAGATGCAAATGCGAGACACGTATGGCCTAGTAAATATGGAGAATGGATATGTTTGATATGTCAATGTCCTCAAGGTTTTTGGCTTGTAAGTAGGAATGAATGAAGGTTACTAATGGAAAATTTTCTTGGATCTTTAGAAAAATGGAGACTAGAAAATCCAAAACATTTACACATTCGAAAAATCGAAAAAAATCAATTTTCTCATTCCTCCAAGATTTGGAAAACGCTCTTTAATGCTTAAAAAAATTGTTTTTCAAACTTACAATAAATCATTTATGGCAACTACAAAAAACACCTCCTTTACAACCGGCCACATCAACCACAGCTATCTCTGTGTTCTAGTAACCACCGCCACTGCCACTCCTACCACCACAATAACCATCCGATCACCAAATACCTCAGTTACCACCAAAAATGCCAACCCCACCATCACTGAATATTGCAGAAAAATAGATTTGTAACTAGAGAACAAAAGTAAATTGTAGGAAGAGTAGGTAGGAACTAAACAATTGAACATAAAAGGGTTTGATATAATTAGGATTTTTTGCCACTTTTAGTCCCCCGACTGTTATGTCATTGACACTTTTGGTACGCGACTTTGATTTCTTCCATTTTTAGTGCTCGACTATTGTGTTAGAGACACTTTTGGTACATGCCTTTGAAAATTTCCATTTTTGGTCCTTCAACTATTATAATAATAACATTTTTAGTCCTCCACTTATTTTGTCAAAATCATAGTGGAAGGACTAAAAGTGTCAATTTGATAATACTCAGGGACTAAATATGAAAAACTTTGAAGTCGAGGACTAAAAGTGTCCCTAACACAATAGTCGAGGATTAAAATTGGAAAACTTAAAAGTCGAGTACCAAAAGTATCACTGACACAATAGTGGGGGACTGAAAATGGCAAAAACATATAATAAGAGAATTGAAATTAATCAGACATCTACATCTATAGCCCTTATATGATTATAGTTATAGTACAAGGCAATAGTAACCATGAAATGTCTATCTATCTAGAAGTGGCCAACATATAAAATTAAGAAAAGAAAAGAAACGTGAAAAGAGATGGCTGCAGATAAAAATGTATCTCTGAACTGCAAGTCTGCAACTATGTGACTGGGAATATTAAAGTACTCGTATCTGTGTGAACCAGCTTATTTAGATGAACTTTCTCTGAAATAAAAATCCTGATACAACTAGACAAGTGCTAATAAGAGAAGCATAACAGGTATGGGACTATGGGTAAATGTGAGGGAAAAGCCATTTTACAATAAGTTCTAGTAGCGTGAATCAAGAATTTAATAATTTTAATGAAATGTTATAATGTGGTTTACTGGGCTAAAACAACTCTAAACAGAAAATGATTTCCTGTCGATTTTAAAATTACACCATGGCCTGAGGAAAAGCCGCTAAGCAGGAAATTCTTCACAGAATTAAAAAACTATCATTAGAGTCAATACATATTTTCCATCATTTCCAATGGAGCCAAAGACCCACTATTTTTTGGCTTGAGAATATGTAATAAAGCAAAATGGCTCACTAAACTGTCTGCGCATCTTTGTTATGAAGCAGCAGTCAATCCATGCAACTTTTGACGTGATTTTTATCACGGGTTATTTGGAAATAGTCTTTGTGCTTTAGTACAGGAGTAAGGCTGCATACATCCAACCCTCCCTCTTATCCCACCGTAGTAGGGTAATGTTGCGGCACTGGGGTAATGTTGTTGTAGAGTCAATAGATAGTAACTGAGCTAGCTCCTAGGAACTTAACAACTTGCATATTAATTTCTTTACAAATCCTAGCAGAAAGGAGAGTGGGATAGTTTAGATACCTTACCCTAACAACAACTAACAGAGATGAAGAAACGAATGGGATAATTTAAATAACCTACCCTAATGATAACTAACACAGAGCTGAAGAAATACTAAAATAGGGTCGATCCCCAACCCAAGATACAGAGAAGAAACACTAGATGGTGTTCTTAGCTATCAGACTAGTATGGCATCACTAAAACATGGATAGACAAAAATTAATAAACTGAATTCTTAAGAAAGTGCGAAATTTATATTAGATGCCTTTTACCTTTCTGTAGGCAATAATATCAGCTAGTGGAATTGACAGTGCCATCTTCAGGGTAATGTCCAGTGCATCTGCAAGTGCTCTGTCACCATAGAGTTCAAACACACCGAAATTTACATAATTTCCAGCTAGAGCTGTAATGGAGTGAAAGCCAACACTTCAGTATGTATAAATATTCAATTAGTGAGGTTTCTGTTTGAAATTTTAAATGTATGCTTCCAACTTCCAAGTTCTAACTACTTCATAAGTGCAAATTACCTCTTGAAAGAATAGTTAAACAAATCCATATTCCCTTGTATTTGTAGGCATATATATCAGTAGGATTTGGGATTGCCAAGATTCTTGATCCATAGGCAACAAGCAATTTGCTAACTTCCCTAAAAAGAAGGATGCCATTTGGGGAAGAACAGTCAAAATTTAATCGTTGAGATTTGTTTAGCACAAACTCAGCCATAAACTTCAACAGTGGTGTTGTGACCTGTTCAATTCAATCAAAGGATTAGGACACGTCCGGACATGATTAAAGAGCAATATGTAATATCATATTGCAAAACGATATACTAAAATGTCAAATAACATAAGCATGAAACTAGGATATGAGAGAAAGACATCAAAAGAACTGATCGGAAATTCAGCTAACAAAACAGTTATCAAAGCCAGCACAAATCTATATGCATATAATCGTAATACACTAATACCGCCATAAAGAAACTTATGTCAGTAGTTAAACACTTCAGTATATGGATTATGGAATATTGGAATCTCATATTCAGTTACCTCTGGAGTATCAGCCCAGTGTGACATTCCCTTCAAAACAGCTTGCATGTGAGCGGGATATATCCAGTCAAAAAGTAGGCCGAAGGTCCGGCGACTGAAAAAAAACAAAGGTTGGTACCCACATAGAAGTCTGGACCAAAACCACTCTGGTGTAATAAAAATACATACTTATGAGTAGCCATAGCAATCCCACGAAGATCCCTCATAAGTCCAATCAAAGCATACTTCACTGTATCAGTTCGAAACATGGTATCCTGCACTGATTCCAAAGTGAGCAAAACCTAAACAGGCACCCAAAAATATCATTAGTTTATCATATTCAACGTTAACTGTATTTCTCATTCCACAATAAATATCATAATACATTCGTGTAACGCAAAAGGAAGTAATATAAAAACAAGTCTAGGAAACCTACACGCCCCTAGACCAAAGCAAAAACGTAAAAATTAGCCATCCATTAGGCAGTGGGCCAGCCAGCTAGGCTTCATATGCAGTATCTAAGCGTCCGAGACACCTTAACCAACATCTATCTGCAGGTGATTAGGTACTTCTCTTTTTTATATTTTATAGAAATACTTGGCATTAATTAGTTAAACTATTTATTTTAAAATTAAGTATTTGAAGAATAGAGTGTCTACTGTCTAGGTACCAGTCCAGCACCTATTAAAATTTACAACCATGGAAAAATTACACCAATATTTAAGACACGGTGAACCCACACCAAATAGTATGACACTTCACATTGAAAGTTTTGAAAATGTCATCAACTTAAAACAAAAATAATTTTAACATAGGAATCTATTCAATGTAATAACACAACATCAATGTCTTTAAAGAAATCTGATTGTGACAAATGAATCATGTCTACAAACAAGATACACCAGTAAAGTGCACAACCAGAGTATCACATACTAGTACCAGTCCCAAGTGAGGAATGTAGGTGACAGATAGTACCTGGAGAAGAGGATCCATTGATATCTTGAATTTCACAGAGATATCTTCCACAAAGATTAGACATCCAATAGTGTAGTAAAATGTTGTTCTACTGCGAAAGCATGCTTGCTTTTCTAGAAACGGGAAGTGTTCTTTCTAAATATACAAATGTAGACAAATTTGAATGATTAATAGTATGCAAATATCAAATACCTTGTGCTAATAAGTAATTGACAAGTGAGGCAAGAGCATATATCTACCGTAGGATGTGCTATTATAAACTTAACGGTATCCAACTGGAGAAGTAGCTTTTGGGTCATGTAACTGCAAACAAAAAGAACACCCTCATGCTGGTTAGAATATTTGCGATGTACTACAGAAAAGTTCAAAACTTTATAAAATCAGACTAACCCAGATGCCAGCTCCAGCAGCAGACGCAAAGTATGATCAATGAGTTCTTCACTCTGAATGTTAGAGCAGAATAAGATGCAATATAAACTACTGAAAATGATAACAGGAAGATACAAGATCAAGAAGAATAACCTCTGCATAACACCTGAGGTTTGTTGCAAGTTTTCGGATAAAGAAATCTAATAGTAAAAGATGATCATGGAGTCCGAGAAGCTCAGACAATCGGGCATACAACTGCTGCAGTAGAAACAGACTGCATTGAAGTACATACTCATTTGACCTAATAATTTAGCTACATGCCTACATTGTGAAGACTGAAGATTTATATTACCTTTGACGAATGTATAGCCTGATCACCTATATAAGTCTTTCTGAAGTTCTGGAAAAAGATTAGGATTGCCCTATCAAGCCTTTGCTTGCTCGCTTCACCATATCGCTGCAAATGACTTGTTAACTTATTGCAAGCACAAACTAAAAGAGAAGAAAAAACATGCAAACCTTTAAAAGGCCCTATTACCTTGCAAATTAAAAGCAATTTACATAGCACCTGGAGAAAACTTTCATGGAGGACTGGGAGAAAATTGTGTTTGAATATAAAATGAACCATCTAAAACAAAAAATATCATACCATATGACTGACACTTGTGCACTCTCTAGTTATAGAAAAAGCACAAACCGGAGTTTTTCCTTGAAGTGTACTATTGTTGGTTTTAGTTTAACACAAGACACAAAGTTGGGAGCTGTGAAGTATACAGGTTTCAGTGTATTCAACTACTATAAAACACTAAATCAGAGCACGAGGCCTTAAGGTCTCACAAAAATGAGATAAATTCTACATATCAGGAACATAAAAAATGATAAAATAAGAAATAACAACTCATTTTACAATCTTTCAAAGAAGTTAACGAAGTAAAGATCTTTTCCAGCTGCATACCTGACTATGTAGCCCACTATCTGTGACATTTACTACACGTATAACATGGGCTGAGAGTTCTGCATCAAGTACTTCTGGGGCAGCAGCACTGCAGAGACACACCGTGGAAATATTATCACATTTTGTTTGACTATTTTACAATACAGAATTCATGAGCGATGTAAATGGAGAAAACAATATATTTTCAAGTGAGTAAAAACAATAAAGGGTGGGTGTGTTGGAAAGTTAATCTTCGTACGTAGAACTAGCACACGGTCTCATCTTCACGACAGCAGCAATTATATGAACAGCCCAAGCAAGCTTGTCTTCAGTAACGGACAGCTCAATGTTACTACCGCCAGCCTGAAGCCGAGCTCTTTCCTAATGTGGTGAAGAAAAAACAGCGAATTGTAGAAAAATATACAAATATAGAAGACTGGTCATTTTGGAATACAAATACAAACATACCGAGTACATTTGCAGTATAGGCTCCATGGTACTGACTATAAACAGGCAGCATCTTTCATACTAGAATCAGAAGATGAACAGCATGCAAATCAGTCACTAAAGATGGTGAAAACTCACACCTCCGATCATTAAATGCATCATATACCTGAAATCGACAAAGTTGTGGAAAGCAATCAAGTTGATCTTGAAGAAGCTCGGTGTTCTCCAGCAAGTTTTCTGAAGAATCATCAGGAAGAGTAGTAGCCTGCAATTGAAAATATTGCGGTTCTATAACCTATAATATATATAAGGGTTCTTGTGAGAACCCCTCCTAAAATGAGAGCTTCTTATATTGAGAACTTTTAATCTCAATCTTTCATTTATTGCAATATTGGTTAGGATTCACATGGGGTCATATTCATAATTATCCCAAATTCAAATGGGGCTTTTTGCAACTAATCCTAAATATTTACAAAAATGCCACCTTGTCATTATTAGCCAATGATTATAAAAATGAATGATGGAGATTAGAAGTTCTTATTTTAAAATGGGTTCTCATTTTAAGAGGGGTTCTAATACGAACCCTCCCCTATATGTGTGTGTGTGTGTGCAAATTATTCAATGGCTAAGCAAAAAGGGGGCTAAATGCATTCTAATAATACCTCCACAGAATCAAACCTTGAAGTAATGAATCCTTCAGCAATTTTCGGAACAAATTCATCAAGCAAGCTTGGTGCATCACCCTTCAGGTATGGTGCAGAACTCACCAACTTAGACCAGAGACCCAAAAGGTAATACACGCTGCTGCTAGTCCACTGCATGTCAACAAAAAGATGACACTATGTCTAGACCAAGAAACAAATCCATTCACCTTGACCAATGGAGGTAAATGATCCAAATGTGGAGATAAAATTTAAGGATGCGGGATGAAATAGTAAATTCATTTTTATACTGGAAGTTTAAGCAATTTTTTAACAAGAATGTAGGCACCGGTTGCAATTAGATGCAAATGCCATTTCCAGCCAATTACTCAGAAATAGATAAAATCATAAAAGTAATTTTTTGGGTATTTCACGATTAAAATGTTGGTCTTGCATTACAGTTCATGTAATGGACACAGTGATAACAAATATCTCAACTCATCAAGGGAGTTCAAGATGCAGGTTTAGGGTGTAGACAAGGACCGCAAGAAGAAAGGAAAAGAGGGGCTTTATCAACAAACAGAGGGAGTATGTTTTCAAAATTAAAGAGGAAGGACATGAAAACATTGATAAAATATCATAACCTTTGCTCATTTATTACTAAGTTGGTATTGGAATCTAACTGGAACCAAATTATCAACATCATCTAATGATGGTGAATCAAAACTATTGAATAGATATCAAGCATTTGGGACAAAAAACATATTTACTTGGAAAATAATGGGAAGGGGGTATACTTTAAAGGTGAAATGGAAAGGAAAGAGTTGACAAAGGAAACTTGAAATGTTATGCTGATGAGTCCTTCAAGTGTTCAAATCCATAACCCAAAGGTGGTTATCTACATTTATTAGTGCTTGACTTGTATTTAGGGTGCAGACAATATGCATACATAAAAATATCGTAAAAAAATAGTTAAGATGCTCTCCAATTATATGGAAAAGCTTCAAAAGGGAAATGCACCTGCCAAGATTGTAGCGACTTAAATGTGAATTCAGCCACAAAATGTATCCATTCACCATATCCTTCCACATTGACCAATTCTGATAACTGCAAACAGAAATAAAAAATAAGCACTACTTTTACACTCCAAAAGAATACTTCAGTTGTCCCACTTTGTAGTTTGTAAAATACATTTTGCTTTTCTGTTTGTCCAAAAACAATGAACAATTTCCTAATTTCAGGTCTGATAACTTTTTACATTTCCACTTAACCTTTTTGTCTATCTTTTCACCTTTTTCATTTTTGTGGACCCCTACTACTTTTTCTTCCTTTAAGAAGGTTGTAATCATACTATCATAGAATAATAAATATCTTCCTTATTTTCTAAAAACTCGTGTCAAACAAAAGGGTATCTTACATTTTGGGACGGAGGGAGTATATTAAGTTGACAATTAGGAAGATACACCGACTCAACCAATACTACATAAAAGGTACACAAACTTATTGTAGCTGTAATAACTACATTAACTAGGAAATAGACCAAATTGCTTGAGAATCTTTCACACTATTTTTGTAATTCAGACTTTTATAATAGCAAAGGAACGTCTCCTTGCATGCATTAGACAGGTAGATCCGTAGAAATATGAACTATTTTATCAAATACGAAAAGCAAGGCTGGAGAATAAAAGTAGAAAGTCAAGCAGTCTCATTTATAGCTCATATAGAAGCCTGTGACCTGTCCTAAAAAGAACATGCACAAAAAAGGGTACGCTATTACACCTGCTCTCATAGTAGACATCTTAATATGCATGGCTATAATACATGGCTCTACTAAATGGCGCTAGGCACTACTGCGCTAGGCGGATGGAAGACTAGCTCTAACTCCTATGCCAATGGAAGATTGGGTCAAGTGCCTAGGCGGGCATGGGGTTCAACCGTTCAAGTGAAGTGTGGGAGAGGTCAAATCAGGAAATAACATAGGTGACCAAGAAGAGCCTTGCGAGTACAGGGAGAGGTCAAAACATGTTTTTCCTTCAATTTCCTGACATGCAAGTACATTGTCTAATAAAGCCTATAATGTTAGAGTATTACTATTATGGTCATCAATGGAACTAATTGACAATTAGTTGTCTAATAAAGCCTATAATGTTAGAGTATTACAATAATGGTCATCAATGGAACTAATTGACAATTAGTTGTTAGTTCTTGTACATATTTAAGGAAAAACATATACCATATATGCAAGACTGCAAATACAAGCCTTTCTTTTTATATTTTCAAATTCTCTGTGTTTCAAGCCTTTCATGTCTTTTTATATTTTCAAATTCTCTGTGTTTCATGTCTTACATCATTGAAAAATGAGATATCCCCATGTGCCATTTCTCGCTTTCATGCTACACATCTACATAGCCATTTCATTTCCAGAATATTCTAGTGAACTAAAAGACGTCTCAAGCTCATTGATAGAAGTTATACTCCAAAATCGTCCATATTATTAATGAATAAAACTCACTATTTATACTACTTCCAACTACCTAGAAGTCCTTTGGGAGCCAGTAATAGAGTCCTAATGTATTTCTTCAGCCATCCTATAATTTTCAATCAATTTTCCTTGTTGGATAGCTCATAATTTTCTTCCAATTCCCTTTTAATGAAAGAGTTAAGTGGTTGATTGTCTCTTTCCTACATAAACCTCAACCACACATTTTCATTTGAAAAATAAGCATGCAAAAAGACAACATGAAGAAAATTATCAGACAGAGGGGATACAGTATTATCATTAGAGAGTTTATTAGTTTATGTCTTTTTTGGAACCAATTTTTTAAATGCTGTATCCAATTAAGACCAAAACTTCAATTTGTATCTAATTGGTACCAATACTTTTCAAGACTGTACCACCCAGTTCCACCAAACGGAATCTATCAGAAAATTTGCTGACATGGATGTCAAAATGCCACGTCACCAGTTCATATTACCTTACATGTTAACGGGACAACACAAAATCAATTCATTAATTGCACAATAACGCAAAAATTACCCTAACTAACAATTTACAACAACTCTATCGGTCCAATCTATTTTGTTTTTTTGGTTGGTGAATGACAGTTGGTGTGATGTGGACTTGTCGGCATTGTGACATTCATGTCAGCAGAAATGGTGATAAATTAGGATTTTTACCACCGAATGCTACATTCTGGAAAAAGTATGTTACCAATTAGATACAAATTGAAGTTTTGGCACCAACTGGATAAGAGGCCTGGTACCAAAAAGATAAAAAAAAAAACCATCACTAAAAACCTATGAGGATAACTAAATTACAATTCTACAATAATATGATAATATTACTAAATAATAATAATATTGCCAAGAAAAAAATTCTTAAAAGACGGATTGGAAAAGTCATTACAAAATGAATATTGGGATATTGAAACTACTGTAAACAACCTTTCCTGTTACTAATAGGAAAGTTATAATCCCATCTACCTATAACTAACACGGAACTAATAGGAATAATAATTACAAAAATATGAAAACTCCTTCGCATCACCATGCTGCCCTGGATTGAAAACGCTCACGTTAATCATTTAGTGTTCAGTAAATATGTGCACAAGATAAGTTGGTGCAAACAATACAAATTTCATGGAATGTAGAGTACAATATAATCTGGTACAAACAATCCGGTGAAAGCACAAGTAGACCCAATGGCACTAACACTCAACTGTCAGGGCACAAAAGTGAACAATAGAAGAAGAAAAAGCACTACCTGATAGCTTATTCTGAATCGTCCAAGAAGACGACAAAATTCATGGTAATTATCATGATCACCTAGACCTGAATTCATAACCAAGACGGAACAAGAACCAAAACTTATAAAGAACAAAGGACAAGATCCAAAACAATATAATGTGAATCAATCAATGATGCCACTATACCATTGAAAAATACGGAGTGACATGCACTCATTATATGGGACCAGGAGCCAGCAAACGCAAAAGAATATAAGAATGCAAGACATATACCTAGGCCAGTTCGTAAAATCTCTTTGGTTCCTGTCATGAGATGGGCCAAGAACTTTGTGTGTGCAGCAGCATCTGTGAAGACAGAGCGTCTTACAGAGGCCAGTCGGACCAAACACTCCAATGACTAGGAAAAATACAAATAAAGGAGATAAACCGTCAGCAGAAAGCTGTACAACATTCAGAAGTTGATCTCACTATAAAGTCTAAGATGTGACCAGAATTGGCTCAACAATCTTTTCATGGGAAGAAAATTTCAATAAAGAAAATCACCATATGTATTGTTGATGGTTTTAGTCTCAATGGAGCAGATGCCCTCAAAGAGAAGATAAAAGTTAATTTGTCAATTTGTGTGAGACTAGAAATCAAAAGGCCAACGAAATTACTTTGGTAGTCTTCTGCATTTTGGGGAGTTTCTTTTAATAGACAGATGTTTACCTGGCTAATCACAATTTAGGTTTCACAGAAAAACCCAAGGCCACAGCTTATTGACAAAATAGACCAAAAGACAAACAAATGGAGGATAAAAGAATCGAAAATGAGATCCAATGGAGTTCATTTAAAACACTTATATCTTCAAATGTATTAACAATGATATCACCCTAAATAGGCGTAGCACATAGGATTTTTCCTAAATAAGGTTATGGTGTTTACATTTCCTAGATAATACTACCTCCGTCCAATAATGTAAGATACATTTGAGTTCGGTGCAAGTATCAAGAAAATATGGGATAAAACATTAAAATGGTTGTTTTACAATTCTAACCTCCAAAAAGTAAGAAAGAGTAAGATCAGTCCACAAAAAGTAAAGGGTAAAGTGATAGATAAAGTGATCAAATTAAAAAGTTAGTGTAGTTAAATTTAGGAAACTGATCTTAATTTTGGTACAATCCAAAAAAAGAAAAGTGTCTTACAAACTGAGACGGAGGGAGTAGTAAATATGAATACATATTCCATTTTTCTCTCCCCTAACAGTCTTGACTACACTTGCATTTCATTTCCATTTGACTACACTTGCATATATAATTGAAATCGTGTTTAATTTTCCAATAATAAATAACATACATTGAATCCACCTATCGATAAAACTGCATTCCAGCCGCCGTCAGACAATATCAAGAGGGCAGTATGGTTTCAAGATGACAGCACTCGGCCGGATGACAAAATATGGTAGTTTGATTTCAGGATGACAGTATTTGGCCAGCTGTCATGGAAATCTAGGATGGCAGTATCAAGTATGGTTTTGACTTTTGAGGATGGCAATATTTGGCCAGAGTCCTGAGTCCAGCAATGGTCACCAAAGTCTGGGGGTGGTTGATTTCATTTTAATTTTGGTATTGTAAAAATTAACTTGTAAGGGAATTTTGTCCATCCATTCAATCTTTATTCTTTATTGACTTATTCCATCATTTCCAATGGAGCCAAAGACTCACTACTTTTTTGCTTGGGAATATGAGGGAATAAAGCAAAGTGGCTCACTAAAGAGTTTGTGCTTCTTTATTATGAAGCAACAGTTAGTCCATGCAATTTTCAACGTGATTTTCATCATGAGTCATCCAGAAACAGTCTCTTTGTGCTTTAGTACATCCGACCACCCCCTTACCCTAGCGCAAGTGGGGAGCCTTTGCGTCACTAGGGTGATGTTGCAATTGTTATTGTTGTTGTATGCAATCTTTATTCCTAGAATACATATTAGTCCTATTTTGGGAAAACAACAATGTTTACTCATACTTGGGGAATTCTCCCAATTAAAAAGGCAGAAGAAAAGTAATCCCAGCAAGCCTAAGGACTTAAGAATATGTAGAAGCATGCCAAGCCTGTGCAAGAAGTGAACCATGTTTAATAGTACTTGCATATGCAGCTTCTCAAACTCGCAAGAAAGTTCAATAACTTGAATTAACTGCATAAAGAATATCAACCAGGAACAAACCTCTTTGGAAGCAGGGCCCTTCCCAAGAGCGTAGTGATCAAAAAAGATCTGCAGAGTTGAGTGTTCCTCTAATATTGATTTCCATGAAGATGGAACCTGTGAAATAAAATTGATGGTTGTATGATAAGAGCAAAAAAATAATTGTAACAATAATCTTGGTTATAAAGAAAATATTGACTCCTCAAAAACTAATGTGTACCTGAAGAGTACCAAACTCTTCAGAACTTTCATCAATGGACATTCCAATGAAATCAAAAGATAAACACTTCAGTGACAGAGATAGTGCCAATTCCTGTAGTCCACTTATGGCTGCAGTATGAAATTGAGCCATCATATGTGGATCACAAAGTGAGTATCAACATACAAGAAAGACAATTAAAGCTATAGTTATACTACCATCATTTTTTAGCTGATGCAAGGATGTTAAAGATATCCTGAAAACTTGTAAAAGAGACTGATCCCGGAACGAGGATGCCACTCTCCGATGATGGGTTGAAGCTGCCCCTTGATTTTGCTGAAAGAGGCAGCAGTAAAATCAGTAGGCATGAGGATATGTAATTTGATATGAAAAGAAGTTGATACAGGACAATATCCTTGGCATTAAAGGAATTGCACTTCACTGAGAAACAAGGATACATAGTATCTGGTAGACATGTGTTGAACAGATGATCTGGAAGCCTTGAACATATCCTTAGACTAATACATGCATAACAAAGTTAAATATTGCTCCCCTTCCCGTCCATAAATATTGGGGACACTTACTTTTAATGTGGTTTTTAATTAATGAAAGCAGTTATAAGATGATGTAATTTCTAAAGTTGTCCCTCAAATAGGGACCACATCCCCATTCCCCACATAGACACATAGTCAAATCACTTTATAAAGTACAAAGGTATTAAGGGAGAAATCAGAAATGAAAAAAAGTAAGCTGGTGGTCAAGCCCAACCAAGAGTTATCACTAACAATAAAGTATTCTAATCATACACTGAACACAAGGTGTGCTATGGGATCCATTTCAACCTAAATATGAATCGCCAAAACCAAAATCAAATTGGCTCAATGCTTCAAATGTATCCAAATAAGAACTCATCATCATCATCATCATTACCCCAGTTCCGCAAAGGCTCCCACCTACGGTGGGGTAAGGGGGTCGGATGTACGCAGCCTTACCCCTGTACTAAAGCACAGAGAGACTGTTTCCGGATGACCCAAGGTGAAAAAGCGCGTCGAAAATTGCATGGATTGACTACTGCTTCATAATAAAGAAGCGTAGACAGTTTAGTGAACCATTTTGCTTTATTCCATCATTTATCCAAATAAGAACTATTTTAATAAAACTAGGTTTCAAGCCCGTGCGATGCACGGGCGGTATGTAATTTATCTAAATTAAAATTTGATTGGTTTTCGGAATCATATATAATGTGACGCAAAAGCAAAATAAGCTCGGTCTAAATATAGAGTCCGTTTGATAATACTAATATTGGTGGAATCAGTTTATTTTGCTGAAATTAATTAAATTCTTTTTTGAATAGGTTGAATAGGTGAATATCCCGAATCATGAAAAAAAATATTCCATTTGTTAAATAAATAAAAATTATATGAAAAATAGTATAAATGGTCTTCTACATAAGCTTCTCTACTAAGCATAATTGTTATGAACCTGATTTCAAAGAATTCATAGAGAAGCTTCTTAATTATTTCCATGTCCTCTAAATTACTTTATTATGCGCCTCAAAATATTTTTTTAATATTCCTCATTCAACTTGGTATGAAATATGGAGTACATACTTTTAATAGTAAGATTTTACATTTTATTATTATTTCATCACATTGAAACGTCATTAATAAGGACATTTTTAATTGAATTAAAATTTTCAGCTTTGATTTGGTCTAAAGTAATATGATCTGGTAGATTTCTGTTTTACATTTTATGTGTCCAATTATTATTAAAGTTTGATCTGATGATTTAGTCTGAGACTGAAATCAATCTAATTAAAAACATCTTAAGAGAACAAAATTAGGAATTTGTAAACATATAAAGATTTCCTAATTTAGATTAAGAATCGATCCATTTCAAAAGTGACGGAATCTAGAGTCATTTGTTTCCATATCAATATGCAATGAAAAATAGAATCCAATAAAAATAAAAGGTACGGAGTATAAAAATAACTAAATAATTGTTATATATGATGGATGACATGGCAGGATTATGTGGCGTTTTGTATGCTCTTAAAAAGTTCCTCTTTTATATATATATATATTGATTAGAAAAGTGTTCAAGTGTGTATTTCAAAATGTGCCCATAAAGTCAAGCAAATGAATTGCGAAACTTAACCTGGTTCATCTCACAAACAAGCTGATTCAAGATCTTTAGACCAATAGCATAATAATTGGATGTTGCCTGTAGAATGGAAACAAGTAAGAGACTAAGAGTAATGCAAGTACGCCTTCATATTACAATGGAAACAACACATTGGCTTCGTAGTAAACCACTAAATGCGCTTACTGAAGTCTTTCATAAAATTGATAATGGAGTCCCCCAATTCAATTATTCCATACATAATAGACAACTACTCGTGATTAATGGTTTAATAGATGGTATTCCGCATAGTAATCCAACAATGCAGGATGGTAAATATAAGCATACATGTCAGACATCTAGAAGGGTTGTCTCCACTTCTTAGAGAATCAACTAATTCTGTTTCTTTTTCTTCTTTTTTGATGAGAGCTAATTATGTTTTTTATTACTTACATGACTATAACTAGTAATGGTCTCGACTCTCGAATCTTGAACCTGGATGAGAAACTTTGATATTGATCAAGGTAAACAACCTTAAGAGCCATAAATGACTTCAAATTCTGAGATTACTCTATATGTGTATTTCATACTTATTGGGGCTTTGGTTAATGCCTTTAAAGAAACATAACTCATACACAAATTCAAAATTTACCTGAGTCATAAACTTTATAGATTCTGTAACCAGATCTCTAAACCTATCATCAGAAAACCACCCAAGCATGGTGATTCGGCATAAGAGTTGAATGAGAGATGCAATCACAAAAGGTTGCAACTCAAGACCTCTGTTTGCCAAATAGCTTATGAGGTAGTTCCCTTCATAAAAAAACAATAAACAGTAGACTAATTAAAAGTAGAAACAGGTATAGGTTGTCAATGTAGCAGCTTGAAAATTATTTCCTCATATATCTTGGATTCTCATAATTCAGGAATAAACATATATTTGATCATATGAGTTCAGTTGTAGATTAACCCTGGGAAGAGAAAGCGTGAGCAGTTCTTATGATTTGAAAAAACAATGTAGCAAAATATTACAGAGATCTAGGCGGAGCTGCAATGAAGGATTGTTCTCAGAGACTTGCTTCAAGAGGCTTGAACTAGCTAGCATCAATGCATAAGGAGTGGATGCATTATCCAGAATAAACTGACATTGTGAAATGTAATCAATATTTGCAGAAAAGCATTTAAGAGTATTCTCAACATGGGCTCGTTCAGATGAGTCCTGTGAAGTGTACAGCCTCTCGCACAATGCCTCTAATTGTGCTAAACTCTCCATTACTAAACAACCAACCCAGAGCAAGAACTGAAGCTTATCCCATCCAAAGTCCAGTCTACAATTTTACCAGAAGATGATATCACTTTCTAGGAAACACGGACGAGCATCACATTAGAAACAGCAAAATATTCCCTTTGAGTTAACATCAAAACCAATTAGAATTTGTGAACCCTAGCAAAGGCATATAAAGAAACAAGATTAATTATAAATACAACAAAAATATGTAATTTTAATGAGGCACACACCTCTACCATCAGAATGATATTCCTAAAGAAAAATAAATATGACTTTCCAAATTCCAACAAGCTAAGAGAAGCACAACTTTGTCCAAGTAACCATCAGCTCAGATCAAGAGATATTGAAAAACTCAGCACAGATAGCACAAATCCAAGGCTACTATCCGAAATTAAGAAGGGCAACACAATGTTCTCATTATACTGAGGAAATTTCAACAATGGCAATGACCATAATACAATGTTCTATTACAAACGTGTACAAAGCCACCCGTGAAGGGATGGGAAATGAGATATGGAAAAATGAAAAGTACAAATTTGCATATGCAGAAGAGCTTTAGAATAAAGTGAGCCGTGAGCCGACCGCCAGTGGAGAGGCTTTCTCAGGGCTGATCCTGATTGAAATGGAATGGAATCAAAGACGAAAAAAGTCAGCGAGGCGATCAAATTTAGAGAAAGACACGAATATTTGGAGTCAGAGTACGAACCGGAATCATAGATATTTAGGTCGTCAAGGAAATCACCTCAGACGATGGCGAAGGAGATGGGGCGATGTTTATAGCGCAGTTTCCGTAAACGCAAGCATTGACGTAATTTTATACTCACTGCTGACGTAATTTACCTAACTAAAATAGTTGGGTAAATAAGAATAAAGTGACAAATGTATCTTTACTTTTTTACTTTTTCAACATTAAAATAAAGACATCTACTTTTAGAAAGATGGGCAAAACTGTAAAAGTTATGCATAATTTATTGTGATTTCTTAATACTTGTGACGGTTAAAGTTTGTTATTTCCGTTTAGACCGTTAAGTATAATTTATTGTGATTTCTTAATCCTTGGAGGGAGAGACCAGATTCCAGACACAGCTTTTAACGTTTAGTTAAATTAATTTCCGATTAAAATAAAAAGGCTAGGTGAGCCGATAGGTGCTGCTAGCCTGCTAGGTGCCTAGGCCTCTTAATCTGTCGGCTATGGATAGAATCATACTGTTTCACATGTGGACGGATCTGAAATTATTATCCCACACCTTGAAATTATTATCTTAAAAAAAAGGCTAAAGGGTATACGAATTGCTCAATTGGCACCCCAAACCCAAAAAAGCTCCGATCCAACCCACCAACCAAATTAAATACTTCAATCCTCTCATCCAATCGGTTACCTCCCCGGTTGTCCCCCTTACGCCTGTGAACAGTACTGCGCACCAAGGGTCGCTGAAGTCGCCGTCGTCGTTCGCACCGCCGTGAACCCTCCGGTAAGGCCACCTGCACCAAGTGGTGCTCTCTGAAGCGCCCCAGGTCTCGCCGCTCCATTTCTGGAGAAACGCCGCCGGCCGTAGCGATGCTCGTGGCTCGTCGTTGGCTCCTCCAGCCGCCGCCAGAGCCGCCACACCGCCGTTCGTCATCAGCGGCCAACCACTGACCACTCATCCATCTGGTCTGATGTCGTGGGAACCCCCACCGCTCTGCCGACGCAACTTGAGGTACCTGCCGGCTGAGAGCTCTTTGATTTCCGGTTGAAAGGGGGACAACCGGGAGGTAACCGGTTGGATGGGGGGATTGAAGTATTTAATTTGGTTGGTGGGTCGGATCGGAGCTTTTTTGGGTTTGGGGTGCCAATTGAGCAATTCGTATACGTTCAGGGGCCTATTTGACTCTTTAGGCTAAAAAAAATTAAGAAATTATTTCTTGAAATTATTATCTTAAAATGGTCCAAATCTGATCTATTCTAATCTTAATTGAAACTGAAAGTAATCTAAATAAAAATATCTAAGATGAGTACCGAAAGTGGGTTAGATGGACGTATATAATACTCCGTACTATGACAATATTGCAAATTTTCTATATATTATAAACATTCATTTAAAAGTACATAAGGATTCAAAAGATAGATATAAAACTAAGATAAGGATGTTTTTACTTGGAATATTTTCAGTCTCAAAACAGACATTTACAAGACTAGACTAGACCAGACCAGACCAGACCAGATCAGATCAGAACAAAAAATTCAAGTCCGAGTAAAAACATCATAAAAAACATCATAGTTGTATTATTTTAAGAAAGGATTGAAAAGAATAATCTCAACTATTAACAGTATGTTGTTAATAATCTTAATTATCGATTATTCTTGGTTGGTCCCAACTATAGGGATCATCATCCAAAAGTAGTCTCTCATGACCGGTCATCGATTGTCTAAATTAAAAGGGAAAAATAATTAAAATACCACAAAATTTGAAATAGTGTGATATAAACACACCAAAATTTCATAGGGAGAATTCCTTAAATATGAGTAAAAAAGTTTTGAAATTCCAAAATATGAGTATCATGTTTTTTATTCCTTGAATAGGAGTAAATTTCTGCCAAGTTTGGCATTACTAGGCTTTAAAACATGACATTTTTTCCAAACTTGACATATTACTTCTATTCAGGGAATAAAAAATATGATACTCCTATTTTGGAATTTCAAAATGTTTTTGCTCCTATTTAGAGCAATTTCTATTTCCCAAATTAGAGAAATTATCCAAAATAGGACTAAAAACATTTGTATATTCCAAAATAGGACTATCATGTTTTTAATCCCAAAATATGACTAATTACTGCCATGTTTTGGCAGTACTAGACTTTAAACATGACATTATTTTCCAAACTTGGCAGTAATTACTCCTATTTTGGGAATAAAAACATGGAAGTCCTATTTTGGAATTTTCAAACTTTTTACTCCCATTTCAGGAATTTTCCCTAATTATTAGAGCATGCAAACAAGTGATATGTGAAAACATGCTGACAAATTATATGCTTGTTAATCATTTATGTATAACATAAAGATCTCTAAATGTCATAGTAATCAACACATTGTATATTTGTTGTGTATACAACTACTGACTAAGGAAAAATGTCAACAAAATTAGGGGTGCCAATAATTGTTTGAAATTTATTAAGAGGTTTTACTGTAAAAATTTTACAATCATAAACATAATACTCCTATTGGAGTACGATAAACTCTCGTTTCTAAAAAATAAGAAGTAATTGTATGAACTTCTAGTTCAAACAATGTAAACAAACAAACAATTTTACTAGAAAGCACTTTGTACAGAGTATTTCAAAAAAAAAATATTAAAAAGATGAAGCCAAAGTAATGTTTGTCTATTTTAAATGAAAATTTATACTGTGGATAGTAAGAGAGTGAGAGGGCTCGGAAGGGTTCTCATGCCAAGGCGAAACCAGGATGTGGTGGAAAAGGGGACCTAAAGTGTTGATATATTGATTGACCTTAACTTTTATAACATCTATCCTTGCAATTGGTTTAGATCCACAATTAATTGATTGAAACATATTTAATACTAGGGAGAACTATCAAATAAGCCCTCGAACTTTCATAAAAAGTGCAACTAAGCCCTTTTATAGGAGGCTTTGTCCGGCCGTCGATATTTGGGGCGGTTTCCGGTGAAATTTTTTGATGAAATTTTTTATCATCTTCTTCATTAAGTCTAGTTTACTCATAACAAATTTCAGCTAAAAATTCAATCGAAAAGGCAATCAAATGAATTTTTGAAGATAACTGCGCAGTAGGCAGCGCAGAATATTTCAGAAAAATCATTTGACTGCCTTCTCGATTAAAGTTTTAGCTGAAATTTGATATGGTTAAACTACACTTAATGAAGAAGATGCTCAAAAAATTTCATCAAAAAAATTCACCGGAAACCACCTCAAATGACGACAGTCACACAAAGTCTCCTTTAAAAAAGCTTATTTGCACTTTTATGAAAGTTCGAGGGCTTATTTGATAGTTCTCCCTTAATACTATGGAGTATTATACCTCTATTTTTTTTTACCCCGGAAGGCCAACCACCAAAATCAGTGGGGTAGATGTCGGGGAACATCTACCAGATTTTATTAACTCAAAGCAATTTACACCTGGAGGAAAAAATCTACCACAACAACAAAAAGGCTACAAAAAGCCAACAATCAAAAAATATAAGGCAAATTTGAAGCATCTAATAAAATAGACCCCCTCATATGCTTTGGAATGAGATCTCCAAGTCGCCAATTGAAATGCCCATACCGGCCCAATTTTGCCACCAGAGATGCCGATTGATTTACCTGGGCCGGAATAATCTGCAACCCAAAAAGAAGTCCTCACTTATATAAAAAGATGAAGTTCTCACTTCATCTATCTTTCATTTGGATGTCTCCGATGAATTTCAATCTCATTTATGTAAAAAGTTTTTTAAAACTCGAATTGAAATGTCACAACTCAAATAATGTGATTTTGACCTGTTAACGACCTACACCCGTTAGAAACTCAAATAATCATATGATTCACGTACAAACAAACTCACACCTAGTGACTACTTTATATACACATGACACATCTTTTGTTGTTCGAAAAAATGTTTGATTACCTTTTTAGTTCAATTTATTTTTAACAAAAATGTAACTAATTTTAATACCAACTTGGGTTTGTTTTATTAAAATAAGGAAAAAATTTAAACAATAATCACAACTATTTTTGATCCACTGTTAATAATTTCAACTATCGATTATTCCCGATTGACCCCAACTATAAAGATCATTTTCTAAAAATAGTCCCTAATCAGCTACGAGCTGATACAACAGGTCATTTCGAAAGATATACAAATACTTTTAGGCTAAAGGGTCAAATAGGCCCCTGAACGTATACGAATTGCTCAATTGGCACCCCAACCCCAAAAAAGCTCCGATCCAATACACCAACCAAATTAATTACTTCAATCCTCCCATCCAACTGGTTACCTCCCGGTTGTCCCCCTTACGCCTGTGAACAGTACTGCGCACCAAGGGTTATCACCAAGGGTCACCGGAGCCGCCGCCGTCGTTTGCGCCGCCGTGAACCCTCCGGTAAGGCCACACGCACCAAGTGGTGCTCTCTGAAGCGCCCCAGGTCTTGCCGCTCCATTTCCGGAGAAACGCCGCCGGCCGTAGTGATGCTCGTGGCTCGTCGTTGGCTCCTCCAGCCGCCACACCGCCGTTCGTCATCAGCGGCCAACCACTGACCACTCATCCATCTGGTCCGATGTCGTGGGAACCCCCACCGGCTGAGAGCTCTCTGATTTCCGCCATTAATGGTAGTTTGGAGCTCTCTGATAACCACCGACCTTCCAGTTTCTGGTTGAAAGGGGGACAACCGGGAGGTAACCGGTTGGATGGGGGGATTGAAGTAATTAATTTGGTTGGTGTATTGGATCGGAGCTTTTTTGGGTTTGGGGTGCCAATTGAGCAATTCGTATACGTTCAGGGGCCTATTTGACCCTTTAGCCATATTTTTATAAATTTGCAAACTAAATAATTTTAAACATGTCAAGATAATTACAAAATTTTACAAATGTACAGAAGTTGAATAAAATGATTTTAGTCAATTTTAATTTATTATAACTAAAATTTATTTATTTTTTCATTTTGTTTTTCACAGTTGTGTTATCAATTTATGATTTTGTATTATTTTCCTTATTTCCTTATGTGATTAAAATTTTAGAAATTGGAGCTTTACTCTAGCTCTTTTCACACAAAAAAATCATTTAATTTTTTTATGCTATC